GTTCAGTTAATGAGTACATGACTATATTTAGCATGAAGCACTTTATTACCGATAAAGAGCAACTTCACTATATTGAACTCCATTCGATACTCCTCTCTGTGCGGTTATTAATACTCTGTAACTATTATACGGCACAGTACTATTTGATAGAGTTATTAAATCGCCATAGACTGAACGTCCCGGATCTGTCGTTAGACCCGTGACACCCGAATACATTAGCGTCCAATATCTACCAAGTATCAGTTCTGTTGTGTTAGTTGAATTCGAGCCCTCAAGTGTTATACTTAATGGGTCTCCTTCTGGGAAATCACGTGCCGTACCAAACTGTATTGCTCTCAAAACAGTGCTAGTTTGAGATGGTATAATATAAAAGCCAGTGGTGTCACCTTGATTTGGACTCGATGCTGTTTCAAGATTGTTTCCATAATTATGGTATTGTGTAGTGAAATTTGAATCGAGAATTTGCATTGGACTTTCATCATCGGTAGGTATACTTGGGTCACTTACATTAGTACTTGCTGGTGGATAATTACATTGACCATAACCATATGATGCTGGTTGACTATCACCACCAACAGACGTACTACATATACCAAAAATAGGATCACTTGCTTGAGTTATTCTCGTGACAGCACCTAAGAAATGAAATAATAACAAAAGTAAGGTAAGCCAGATACATATTTGTATCTTGGCAAAATATTTTATTGACAATTGCCATTCTTCCACTGATTTACTCTTTTTCTCTTTCTATCTTTATTTTTGATGTCCCTATATTGTACACTATGTTTTTCTCGTCTTTCAGATACACACATTTTCTTTTTTAATCCTTTAGGGCTCAATCAACGGCAAGGCCGCTAATGAGGAGGCCTCTACGAAAACGTTGTGTGTCGTGCTGACATGGAATTTTCTGATTTTCTTTACAAGAAACCACAATCTACCGATGGCTTCTACTGTGGCATCAGTTTATTGGTGGCAATTCTGAAATGCGTTGAACTGTTTCTTCAATCATCGCA